TAGGTACAGTTTCAAAGGTCAAACTAATCTCATTATTAACAGTCAATCATAAATGAAATTCATTAAAACTTGTGTATTGAAGCAGATTTTAATTAGACATGGGTTATATGTTGATGCTCATTGATCGTTATTCTTTCATTACCGTAAACTTGGAGTTTATACCTAATTAAAGACCGTAAGTGTTGCTCAAATGTTCTAATATTTAAAATATTTGCTATCATAACAGTTGTTTTTGTTGGAAAAAGTAGTACCTATCCCAGCATGGAGAATTGGAAATTAACAAATATAATACAATAGATGGGCGATCAAACAAATTCCAACCATTTGGGTCTCCGAGATTACATGGAATTTTCCAACTCTGTTGCAAGAAAGGATCGAATTGCCATCCTCGATACTATGCAAACCTTTTATGGCCAGTGTTACTCTCGAGTATGTACCTCTAGCATGGGGGGAAGTAAAAGTGATAGCTCGAGTGGTAGTTATGCCAAAGCCTGGACGTGATTCAAATTAGTCATGACGGTGACATTTAAACCACATTTGGATAAAATAAACGTGTAAACAAATATAGAAAACGAGCTCCTGGGTATGGCTATCACATGTGCAAAACCAAATTTTGAACCTGGCGGGAGTTTTGCTTTTATTTAAGTGTATTTAATGTATCAAATATCATTTAATTGCTTCCATAAATAAGAAAGTTGGCACTACACATCATGCACAAAAACCAAATTTGGAAACTGGCGCTACATTTGCTTTTATTCCAAGTGGCTATGTATCAAATTTCATTTAAATCCCTCCATAACTAAGAAAGTTGGCACTGCGCATGCGCAAATCCAAATTATGAAACTGGCGTTAAATTTGCAAGTGACTATGATCAAATTTCATTTAAATCCCTCCATAAATAAGAAAGTTTGGGTTCGGTTTATAAATGGTCGAGATGCGCAAAGGGCACTGTGAATGCTGATCGCTTGGGCTCAACTTTTGGAACTGTGTTTTGTATGGCTAAAGCTATGCGCATATTGAATGTCATGCAATTCGGTTCATATCTAACGGAGATATCAAAAGGGCTTTCTTTATTTTTTGGCCTACATTACCAATTCACGTACTCCGATCTACAAATTTCATAAAAAATCCACCTGCAAAATTTCATCGTAATCGGTCCATTCGTTTACGAGATATCGTGCTAACGGACGGACGGACGAACAGACAGACAGACACCGCAAAATTATAAACTATACATTTCATTGTGCTGCTATTTCCATGTCACTTAGTAGCTTTGGCCAGTTGCACCACCAAAATTAAGCCTCGGTTAAATTTAAGTCGAACTTAAAATCATTGGCAACGTTTACGAGTATTATGGCCGTTTGCACCGACAAATTTGGAGCTTAGCTTAAGCGTAGCTTGAAATCCATGGCAACCATTGTCTCAATAATCGTTGCCATGGCTGTTATGCTACGCTTAAGCTAAGCTCCACTTAAATTTGTCGGTGCAAACGGCCGTTAAGATAATGGTTGCTATGGTATTTAAGTTATGAATAACTTTAAGCGATACGGTGCAATTGGCTATTAGTGGCACACATTTTAAGAACCTATTTTAAAAACGTTTCATAACTTGTAAAAATTTTCGTCTTTACTTTGGAATTCCTGATCGTGAATCCTGTGTTAAGATAAAGATGCACAAAACAAAAGAAAGAATCCAAAACAATCCAATTTTCAATTATGTATCAATAAAAAAGTGACCATAATTAATAATTGTTTAAGATATAATATCCAAATTACATTGAATGAATTCTGTAAGAGGTCAAAAATTTGCCATTTTGAACAATTTAGTGTTTAATAATGAAGCGGAGCATACAAATAACAGCAAATTAATATTACTTTTGACAGTGTACGCTGGGCATAAAGAATTGTAACGAGAGGGTATTTTCCCTACATTTTTTGCGATTTTATTCCATTGAAACATGCGGAAGGAAAAGTTTTCTAAGTTTAGAGACGGCCAAGGTTTCAATCACAATCAACCAAACAATTATTCATTATGTCATGTTCGAGATTTTATTTTGTCGATCATATATCATCGAACTTTATCACATTTGGCGCTCCGCCCCATTGACGAGAATTCGTTTCGTTTTACACGATAAACAGAGGTCATATAATTTTTCATTTCTAACACTGCGAGTTAAGTTTCTTTGGGAAAGAGATAAATAAATTTCTGTTGTATCAGCGGTTTTCGTAGACCATCTTAGAGTTGGCAAACTAATGAAAATTAACGAAGTATCGCTGCCATTGCTACCCATCATGCAATAGGCGTTTTAAGTCAACTTAGTATAGAGAGAGGGGATGAGTTTTGAAATTAAGGGACTCTCGTTTTGCCATCCGAGGGGTCAATACGAGAGCTTAGCGTTTGAGCAGTATGGAGTTTTTGTAAAGCGGCCTTTAGAGCCCAAGTCATTAATGTTGGCGTTCGGAAAAATGGAGGTTCGAAGAAAAAGTTAATCCAGATCAGAGCGACAATTAGTAGTTTTCTCAAATTTATCATTTTGCCCCATTAGAAAAAATTACACAAAAAAGTTCCCATTTTGGACATTTGCGGAAGAGTGCGTTTTATTTATCGTTCGAGCCCGTTAGTTTGCGAGAAAAGTGCCATCTCGGTAAGGATTAACGTGATACAAAATTACGTTACGACAATTTCACAAACATTTTACCGCGCTCTACGCAGTGCTACAAATTATAAAGAAAGATACTTTAATATCCAGTGTAAAAGTGAAATTGCGATAAAGAAAACTGTCTTCAAAGTCAGCAAATGTTTACGTTGATTTTTGGTGCCACTAAAGTTAAAAGTTATTAGAGTGGAAAAGTGTACGAAAAGGATTTCCAAAATATTAAACTCAAAATTTCAAGAACTAACCCTTAAAAGCGAGTTTATGCTAGTGCTCGTTTAATTCTGCAAACCCCAATTTGTACTAATCAGGAAATTCAACAATCGAAATCCGTAATTTAATCGCTCATTATCAAAGATGTCTCATTCCGAAAGCTGCTACAGGATTTGTTCATGCCGTCGGGTTTTACACGCAATCCAGAAATCACTTGTCAACCGCCCCAAAGTCTTGAACCAACCCCGTAAGTGTAAAAAACTCCAGGTGAGTACAATCACCGAGAAAAGGTTCGTTTTAAAAAGTTGTATGATTTTTGTAAATTTCAATCGACGGCTTTTATGATCCTTTAGATAAAGGCGAATTCAGAGAAATATCTAACACAAAACCGAATTGGAGAAAAGATGCTTAAAGCCGAAGAAGCTAATAAGAATGTCTGGCAAAGTCCCACGCAATAGAGAGACTTTGCGGACCATCCCTGAAGGCTGTCTTGTGGCTGTACGTTACCGTGAGGACCTATGCTTTGCTATGCGTGTCTGGTGGCCTAGAACCAGACTCTCCACAACCTTAACACTTCTTACTCATGTGCAAAGACTTGCGTACCTTGCTTACTTGCATGTGAAAACCTCCATGGAGGCCCTTTTGGGTCTACCTCAACTAGATCTGCGCGTGAGAGAGCAGGCCACATTGGCATCCTTGCGTCTAAAAAATAAGGGGTTGTTGAATAGCAGAGGTGGACCACTTTCGAATTTCGTTGAGGAGTCGTACAACTCAGGAAAGTAGTACAAAGGGCCCGAATTAGAGGCGTAGGTACGCGTGGACTCTGTCCACCCCCCTATCGTAATCCAGAAAAAAAACAATCGAAAAAACAGTGTTAGATGAGGTGTCAAAATAAAGCTGTACCTTCATCTGATGAATTTATCTGAAGATTTGCAGTGAATGTAGCAAATGTTTTAATTTATATTAATTAAATTCATTAGGCAAATTACTGTATCGCTTTATTGCATTTGTGAGAAATTATTTTCGAGTCCCATGAACGGGAATAAGCACGATTTTGTTCTGCTGGCGGGCTTGGGTAATTTCCATACCGCTTCCATAAAAAAGTTCAAGCACTTACTTTTTTAATTTTTTTAAATTAATAGATGAATTATATGCAAATATTTAAACACAATTTTTGAATGCAAACGAAACGTTTCTTGTTTGAGTTTTCCGTGCTATAACTCATAAAAAATCCACCAAATCGTCCAATTAGTCCGTATGTTACTAAAACATTCATTCCAAAAGAAAAGATTGCAAAGGCACCTTATTTGCACGATTGTCTTCGTGTTAAAACTAAAAGGCATCAATATGCTACAATTCTGGGAAACAAAATTTAAGTGTTTTCACCACTGCGCTTGAACTAGCTTTTGGTTCCTGTCCACAAGTGGATCCTTTAAAATATAAGTGCCGATTTTGTAACCAGAATCATAAAACCAAAATTAATGTCGGGATTGGTTAGAGAAGTGAATAAGCTTTTGAAGTGACATTTTTTTATGTTCCGAACGAGGGTCCAAATAAAATAACCTCTTAAAGTTGTCCACGTTACTGAAATGGCTAATCTGGTTTTAAAAAATTCTCTTAACGATCACATGACGTTTTTAAATGAAATTGGAAATCAGTTTGTGTTATTTTCGTACACAGTTTTGGGTAATTAACCATGACCATGATTACTACGGCCTTGAAAGTGCACGACAGAAAAGTGTGACGCGAGATCACAGGAAAAACCGACATTTACAGATATTTTAAATAGAACATACCCGTACGTTTTGTGTGTCTATTATTAGATTGAATTTGAATAAAATGCTGGTGGATGTGAAAATATTAATAGCATTTGGGTAGTTTTTCGGAAAAAATTCCTACTCATCCGATATTTATTTGAAGTGAACAGATTCTACAACAAGATATTCGTGCCACTTAGCAAAGAGCAAAAGCTGAAAAGCGATTAAAGCTTTTGGCTTACCAACTAAATTAACTGATGTAGGTACACCAAATCAAAGAACCCACATCTGCAGGAATATAAAAGAAACTTTTCAGACGTTTACACAAATCAGTCTAATTTAACGCTTAGCTGACCAAAAAATAGAGGCACACTTACCGTTAAATTTACATTACAAATAGATGGTCCACAAAGAAGTAACCTAACGATATCGACATTGCCAGACCAAGCTGCCAAGTGCAACGCCGTTGAGCCTTTACTATCTACAATATTCGGAGATGCATCGTGATCTAGCAACAATCGAACTATTTCCCTAAAAAAAATGGAGATTAATGGAGGAAACCTTTTAAAACTTGATGCGTACTTGTGACCATTGAGCGCAGCATGATGCAGTGAAGTATATCCACTGCTATCCTGAACGTTAGCACCTGGGCCGCGACGTAAGCTGAAACAAAATACAAATATAAATACCCAAAAGCAAACAAGGCACTTCCTAAAGCAATAACGGCTGAATAGCACGAAAATAATATCATCGTACACTTACTAGCGTTTAATATTGTAGGAGGATTAACGTCATCATCTATTCCCTAACAAGACAATCTCAAAATCTCATAATCGAGCTCATAATAGCAGGGGTGAATTTTTCGCTTATTGCCACACACTACGTAAGTGCGCGTAATATGTTTTCTTTGCCATACAATTTGATAGGACAAAGGGAAATGAAAAAGAAAGTATGAGACGGTAAGGGTTAAGTCAACCTGAAAAGTGCGAATTTCGATCGATGAAAGTTCGCAGTCGCCACCAAAACGACAACATATTATTTCGCACGCCACACCCTACCAATAATATCATCAATTACTTTCTTTGCTTGTAAATTGCGCTCGATTATCGCATCGTTCGTTTATCGCATTGAAAGTATGAATAATGCTGGTGTGGTGTGGAAATGAATTGTTTGAGATAAAAGAGCGGAAAGGTGTGTACGAATATTTGAAGGTGAAATTCGAGCCCATCACGAACGAAAAATAGCATCAAATCAACTAAAGTGATGTAAAGTGGATAGTTACACAACCGCCATGTATCAAACAGGAACGAGGCAGAGGAATAGAAGGACTAAAACGTAGCATAGATTTACTACAAAAACACCATTCTAATAACCAAAGGGTTGACCCGAGTGACCAGATCCACTTTCCCTGTTGACTCGCCCCCTGCCGATCACAGACGGACGATATGACCCACTAAAACAACTTTACATATTCCAATTGTCTCAATCCAATGTCGTTTGTTACAAGTACGCAAGACACGTTCTTTTGAAATAGCAGCAGAACGAATCACGCGAGCATATTTTTGCTCAGCAATCAGCAGTCACCGTGTCATCCATAAATCTTTCGTGAAAGTTTGTTGAATGAAACTCAGTCCGTTCAGGCATTTTCATAGCTTCACATTGGATGGACATCTATTCACATCTTTCGAATCGAAAAAAAAACGCTTGAATTCATTTTCAAGTTCAAGTTCATTTTCACTCCCTCATGAACTATGTTCTCCTGGTAGCTAAACAGATCCCCTCCTAGCTCATTGCATTTGAAAAGCTCCAAAGATTCCAGCGAAAATAAAATTTTCTTGAGCATCGAAAAAGACCACCCCAAGCATTACGTTCTCCTGTTAGCTCGAGAAACAACCTTTTGGTAACAAAGGAGTGGAAAGATTTCTCTTCAGCATAGAAAAAGATGTCATCGAGGACAATGTATAGGTTTTAAATCGTACAGATCAGGTTTTATGTTTCAAGTTTTAATTTTGAAATATTAAATTATTGGAATTCCTGGAGAATGTCTTGAAAACGATAATGATTGGACGTGGAGTGTTTGTGGTAGTAAAGTGGTTGTGAAAGTTTGGCCCCAATTTATTTATTGTTGACAATCTGGAGTAGAAGCTCGAGTTGTGAGTATCATAATTGCCATTGTAGGGTTAAGGTTCAAAATTTCAGTTTCAGCATTGAGCTTTTGATTGTGAGATTTGAATTCGAAAGTCTGAGGCGGGGGTCTGACTTCTGACCTGGAGACAGTAGGTTTAAGGTGTGATGTAGAAGCCTAAAATCTGAACTCTGATTCAAGGCCTAGGTTTCAATTTCATGTTTCTAGTGGTTTCTGATTTGAAGCTTGAGCTTTCAAATTTTAGGTTATATGTGGCAGGTTTATATGGGTTTACAGGCTGATCACGACAAAAGAAAATTTTAAATCGAGTATTAATTTTAATAACAGATACTAGATGAATTATAAGAGCGGAAACGTTACCTTAAGGATAGAAAGAGAGGTCGAGAACAACAAAAAATTTACATTTTTCCGACAAATTCTCTATTAATTAGGAAGAGAAACGCATGGAGTCATGGAGTACGTTCTCCTGGTAGCCAGAGAACATTTTTCTGTCATACGCTCCACCTTGCACAATATATACTTCTGAGATATATAAATATTTTTAAAAATGTAATTTTTTATAGCAGATACTCCGTTAATTGGAAGTAGAAAGACCTCCTCTCACGTTATATTTTTTAAGTTTGAAATTGCAGTTCTTCTGTAAAGCACAGAAAAGTGCTCCATACCGATTATGTTGTCCTATTGGTAAAGGTAAAATTGCACCATTCATGTAACACAATCTGTTAATTAGCGACACGAACACCTTACTCTTCACACATTATAATATGAATACAAGGGAAGATAGAGTGTTGAAACATTTCCATAAATACACCTCCTTACCAAGTATGTACTCCTGCTAAATTTTCAACAATTTTGAGGGGGGGGGGCATAACTCGGATCTCGGAAACTAGATATGGACAAGTAAGGAAAAGTCCCGCAATTAGTGAGTAATTATCTCGGAAATTATTATGCTGTAAAGAACATCAGAAAATACCTTCCGAAGATATACCAGAAAAACCGAAACTTGTCGATTTTCATTCTGTTTGTCTGATGTTATGCGATCCCATTTTTTATTTATTTAAAAAAAATACGCAGCACTTTGCAAGTCAAACCATTAGAATAATTTCCTTAAATTTTTGTAAGTTGAAAAAAGGTTGGGAGTTTAAGATTGCAACTAAGGCCCTTAATTGAGCATTAATCGTACAGCATTCGGGTTTTCGGCATTAAATTTCCATTATTGATTTATTCCTGAATCGCGTAGCCTGCAAGCTGCAGACCATGAGACCACGTGTACTTGAATCAAAAGATATAAAATCGTTATTCACTCATCCATTTCGTTAAAAAAACGTCTCAAACGCATAATCTCAATGCATTTCCATGCATTTTTGGTGACCAAATGATCGAACGTTTACGGATTCACCAGTGATGTGTAGTCTCGAAACCAAGCGTATAATAAATTATTTTTTTTTGTGTAGGTGGGGAAATGCTCCTTATGCACATTCTGGAAAGAAGTTCCAGAGTAGTGTGAGGCGCTCTCTTAGAGCATACTCACTAAAACCCCACCTAAGGCTTCGGCTACTAAGGCCATTAGCCTATCACCCTTTTCATTTTGATCGCAGTACCTTCCACTTCAACAATCAAAGTTGGTTGAAGATTCCAGCGCCTCGCACAAAAGTTAACACACTCTTGCAGTGATCATGGCTACTAAAATTGGTTTCCCATATTTCATTCACTTTCAATGCATCACGCAGGTTTGTGTATTTTACACAAACACAAAGTATGTGTTCAAGTGTCAATTCGACACCACATCTATCACATGACGGTTGTTCTCCACCTGCCAACAAAAAACCATGCGTGATAGCGGTGTGTCCCAACCGAAGCCGATACAGCTGTGTCAACTCAACTCTACTCAAGTTGGGTAAAAATAGTGCTCCTACATTTGGTTTTACTCTTTTTAATGATGTATCGGTCCCCGTCCACATCTCCTGCCAGCGCTCAAAAACACAGTTCTTCACAGCTACCTTCGTGATATCTAATATACCATCATTTTGTAACTGCATCTCCTCTATGCACTGCCTTGCTCTTTCGCCTAGCGATCTATATAGGTAACCGTGTAGGTCTGGTTCTACCAGTAAGTAAATTATAATTGGGGTGTTCATCATTCAGACATACTTTCCGGTAATAGTTTATTATCAATTGCTTTCTACGAAGAGCAAGCGGTAGAATGTTTGCTTCCACGTTGAGAGCGCTGATGGGACTAGTTGGAAATGCCCCGAGGGAGTATCTAATTGCTAGATTTTGAATTTTATCCAGCTTACTCAGCAACGTGAAACTGACTGTAGAATAGCTATAGCACCCATAGGATGACAGGATCAATGCCTTATAGATGGCAAGAAGAGATTTAGGATGAGCCCCCCATTTGAGATGTGCGAGGACCCTTAGCACATTTAGTGATTTCCTGCTTGATGTTAAAAGATTCTTCTAATGCTTAGTCCATCTTAACTCCCTGTCAAAAGTGAGCCCCAAAAATTTAATGTCACTGGGTACACTGATATGATCTTTCAAAAACATGACAGGGTCATAATGGGGTTTACGGAGCCTACAAAAATGCACCGCTTTAGTTTTCTCCTCGGAAAGGACATAACCCACTGCGTCTGCATTTGTTGCAATTTGATTGATGGAATCTTGCAATTTTCGCACAACAGTGCCAACAGTTTTTCCGGCAACGCAAATCATGAGGTCGTCGACGTACAAACATTTGTCAACTTCCTCCGCAACTCCTGAGGCTATTTCATTGATTGCAATTGCAAAGAGAGAACAGCTCAGAGTAGACCCCTGTGGCACTCCATTCTCTAAGATGTATTCCTGGGAGTATGTGTTTCCAACTCTGACGACAAATCGCCTATCTTGCAAAAAGGAACGGACAAATTTAGGTAAGTTACCCCGTAGATTATATTTTGACATGTTTTTTAGGATTCCATACCTCCATGTCATGTCATACGCCCCTTTGATGTCGAAGAACACCGCCACAAGGTGTTCTTTATTGTCAAATGCCCTTAAGATGTTGTCGCTCAATTTAACCAAATGATCTATTGTTGATCTGCCTTGCCGAAAACCCGTTTGGTATTATACCAATATATCGTTGGATTCCAAAAATGACTGCAGTCGCCGGTTCACCAGTTTCTCTAATAGTTTACCCAAACATGATGTTAAGCTAATCGGACGACAGTGTTTTGGCAACAATGGATCTTTCCCTGGTTTGGGTATAGGAACAACAACAGCCTTTTTCCATTCTGAGGGGTAAGTACAATTTTCCCAGCATTTATTAAAAAATATTAAAATCTTCTGTTTCATTTCCAGGTTGCAGTGGCGAATCATTTGATTATGGATGCCATCACAACCAGGTGAACAGTTTTTCGTGGACCGGATCGCAATCTCCAATTCTTCAAGCGTAAACGGTACGTTATAATCTAATCGTTCTTGCGTATCAAAGTCAATAACAGTTAATTCCTTATCGGCTTTGGTTGATAGAAAGGTT